ATTATTATTCAAGTACATTGTCAATGATTTTTTTCCACAATTTCTATAAAAACTTGATACTATAAACTTCTTCTTCATAACGACCTTAATCCCATCCAGTTTGGGGTAGGCTGGAAATTTTGTAAACCAAGAATATTTACACCCAGGTAGCCTGCCCAGACGGCAATCATATAGGCGACGGGGATTCGAACTCGTGACCCTCAGATTGCGAGTTGAGCGCCCTAAGTACAAAGCCATGTTAGGCCCAACTTGACAGTATCAACTATGTTTTCCAAAAAATGACTTTCCAATTTCACTCAACAATGGTATGAGAACTTATAAGAAGAAGGCAGGGTGTTTACTAGTGGTTATCTTGCCGCATTATGAGTCCGGGAGTCCATGACTCACATCCCGTGTCCACAAATTTGCGCTCCCGCACTTTGGGACCATGGGTGTGCTATTACAGTATCGGCTAAATCATGCTATTCGATGAGAGTCGCCAAACAATTGGCGGTGGGTTCTAGTAACTACCTGCTTCCATCTAGTCTATCAGTTCAAAATTAGGAACGGTTAGCTGAGATAACCCTAGTGTGGCTTTACGCAGATATTCGAAATATATAGTATCCCCCTCCTTTCCTCCCCCCAGTGCAACAGTTTGTCGTACCTGCAAATTTAAACATGCCACTTTTTGGATGTCACAGTTGAAAAAAAAAAACGTAAAACATTTCTACAACTTTTTTTTTTCGACTTATATTTGCTTGAATGGTTTTTATTCAATGTTCAAGTATTATTTATTTCCTCTTGTTGTTGGTGGAGCAAATAAGATCGACATCCTAAGTAGGAATGAGCTTTTCTCACATTTATTACTCCAACAAGATGGTAAATCAGTCAAATCTAAATTCAGCACTTTTTGGAGTGTTAGGGCTGCTGAAAGTTTGGGCATTAAAGATACTGCTTAATTCTATATTGGGAATTACATATATATGTAAGCCACTAAACTTGCGAGAATAGTGTTTCTTTCTTTGGTAATAAGCATCTTTGTGTGTGTGTGTGTGTGTGCCATTGTTCCCTAACTTTATTCTGTAGTTCTGATTTGCATGTTATTTGAATGAAATGTATTATTAAACATTTATAAACAGATCGAATGATTTCACTTTGCAGAAATGGATAAACAATAATGATATATTATCTTTAACACGTTATTTAAAGTGAATATTTATAAATATACTTTTATTGTATTTTATTATATAAACTATAGTAAACCTTGTCACATAATAGAAACGTTACTGTTGCCTCGGCCGTGCATACCACCTGCATCAAACCGAGATATGTGAGAGGAATGTTGTAAATCGTGCCGCTCGAGACAAAGACTACAGAGGTGTCATCATGTGACAAGAACATTTCTTCTGTAGTAAGTCATGTCATATGAGATAACTGATAACACAACTGCTGCATTGAACAATAACAGGAACGGAACGTTGTGTGTGTGAACCGTACCAAGTGGGAGGGATGATCCTACTATCATGAACCGTTCCAGGTAAGGCAGACGTTCCTGCTCTTATAAACCATAGCAGTTTAGATGGACGCTCTTTCTATTATGTACCAGGTTAAAGAGATGTCCCTATTATAATGAACCGTTCCAGGTGAGACGAACATTCATTGATTCATACTAAAAATGAACCGTACCAAGTTAAAGGAACTTTCCTACTATTATGAACTTTACCAGGTTAGAGGTACGTTTCTACAATCATGAACTGTACTAAGTTAAAGGAACATTCTTACTATGATAAAATATACTCATGCCAAGTTAGAGGGATGTTCCTACAATCATGAACTTTACCAAGTGAGAGGGACGTTCCTGCAATCATGAACTGTATCAGGTTAGAGGGACGTTCCTACAATCATGAACTGTATCAGGTTAGAGGGAAGATATTCACGATAGTGACTACTGCCATGTAAAATAAAATGTTTATTATCGTGTACGAATGAACACCAGTAAGAGATGGATATTTCCATAAAGATTTGATGCACTCATGTTCTTAGTTAACTAATGTTAAAGCGTCTCTCCTATCCTGTGTGAGGACTTCCGAATTAAATAAACAAGTTTGAACTGAAATCTTTAATGTGTTCTTAATGAAAATGATCCAAACGCAACCATACAAAGAAATCACCGTGAATTTAAGATATGCATTAGAAATGCATATTTAAGTAACTTATAGTAAAGAAAATTATTTGCTCATTTGTTTACGGGCTGAGTGTAGCATAGCGGTCAGCGTCTCTGAACTGTCCGAAAGTCCAGTGACCACATCCTGTTTCTGCGAGATCGCGATCCGCGTTTTGAGGGACTTGGGTACGTTATAAGTTTGAAGGATAAATCCCACTATTTGATTAGAGTAGCCCAAGAGTTGGCGGTGGGTGCTGTTGATTATCTACCTTCGATCTATGCTATCAGATCAATATTAGGTCCGGCTAGCGCAGATAATACTTGTTTAGCTTTGTGTGAATATCAGAAAGAAGCAATAATTTGTTTACTTTCATGGAACTGATATCGCAGAAGAAGAAGAAGCAAACAGACATATTAATGTTTTCCAGAAGTTATACGTTAAGCTTTTCTGTAGTACTAGTACACCACTGGAAACACCTCGTGCCATATTGCGACGTGTCTCTCCTCCGTGAATGATGGAGTTGAGCAAGCCTATTCAAACTTCAATGACTCACACCCGAAAGGTAGGAGCGATACTAAACCGTAAAGTTGGAAATATTAGTTAAGCTCAAGTATGAATCATCGGAGCTTGTGTAATGTTTAAAATCTATAGATGACTAAAATATAACGTTTCATATTTACACAATTAAAGGTCTTTATTAAAGTTTCTATTTAAAAACACTACATGTTTCGACGCCTTCACGAATTATTTGTTAGACATTTGTTTTCAATATTTATACTTTTTTTGCAATTCATGTGGTATTATGTTTCTGTGTTATTTACAAAACTTACTGGCTAACCTTTACAATATTTTATGCCAGATATATCAGTAACTTGCTGACTCTTCACCTCAGTTTAATATTTTATTGTAGAAACATTAAAATAGAAAATTCACCCATAGCAGAAGACATCCATAGAACACAACATCCAATTTTATGGGACAAAACTCCAATTGTACTCAACCTCACAATATAATAGCTTTCAATATCCAATAATTGAAATTCAAAAAGAAAAAGAAGTATTAACCGAAATGAAGGGTCAGCAAGTCATTGTACTGATATATGGCGTGACCTATTGTAAATACTGGCCAGTGAGTTATGTAAGTAACATAATAATAATAATAATACCACACGACTAACAAAAAGTATAAATATTGAAAACAAATGTCTTATAAATGTCTCGTTAAAAAAAGGGGCGTAGAAGTGGGTTGAAACATTTAACATGTAAATTGTTTTTAAGTGGCAGCTGTTGATTGCTTTAATAAACACCTTTCAGTTATGTAAATATGAAACGTTCTATTCTAACTATTTACAGATATTAGTTAAGTTGGTTTGCCCTGAGGTTTAGACGTAAAATAAGCGTCGGTATGTAATTTTCAGTAGAAATGATAGAATCCTCAATGATTTACTATCGCCATTGTCTAGTTATAAACTACAGGCCTTCCAGTGGTTCTACTTTTCCCACTTTTTTCATTTCCGAAGTGTGACCTGCTAATTTGCAGTTAGCCGACCCAATGATCTATGGCATTAAGCGAAAGGCCTCGTCGGCAGTCGAGTGCAGCGCCAAAGGTGTGCGGCCGCGATTTATTTATGTTCTTCTACTGGACAACCTGTGGTATAGGGCCAGTAAAAAGAAAAAAAAAGGTTTCTAAAAAATATTATTTCATTGTTCGAATTAACCTGTCTTATGGATTCTTATCATTCAAACACTTCTTGTACTGATATATAATAAGAAATTGTACTTCATATGTATCATTAATATGTAAATAGAATGGAGTGGAGATCTTAACTTGTACTTCGTTATTGTTTGCTTTTAAACACAAAACAACCAGGAAGAAGTATTATTATTAAATGTATCTTCATATTAATTTGATATCACGTAAGTAAATACTAATATCAGACCAATTTTCAAAATCTTGACTTGTTCAACAAATGCTGATTTGAGAGTACTTCACCTTTGACCTGATCAGCTGTTCTGTCAACAGCGTGACTGATGACAAAAAGTCCATGGATCGACTGTTCTGTCAACAACGTGACTGATCACAAAAAGTCCATTTTGTGAAATAATGGAGTTAAGAAGTATCTGATTGCATACTGAGAAGCCTTGACGTTGACTGCATATTGTTATTTTATCTTATTCACCCTTCTAAACTGGTAAAACAAAGCACTGTTTTTAGCCTACTTTTTATTCAAATTATGCTGTGAGGCCCGAAACTGATATAGAACTTGTTATATATTTACTACAAGTATGAACTTATAGTGATTTTTTTTAAATTGATAATACACTGAATATATTACAAAAATATGGAGAACAAAAAACATTTGTACGTTTCACAAATATTTCATTCATTACAATCATGGTTTCGCCAGTAAATGTTTTATCAAGTACAGCAACCTGACGAAACCACAGTCGCAGTAAATGAAATATTTTTGAAACGTACAGTTGTCTTTGTTTTTCTCAACTTTGTAACTATGAGGTTTAAGCAAGTATTAATTATATTGAGGGCATAGTTAAAAGTTTATTGAAATGTAATATTTTGGTCGTAGTTTTCTATTAAATAAAGAAAAATATGCAAATGAATGGATAAAAATAATAATTTGCGAATTAATTTAAAATGAATAATTTTACTTTTAACACAAATGGGAAAGCTGTTAAATGGTTATGATTAAAACATTATTTTCAATATTTACACAATGAAATATAACTCTTTTATGTAAGTACTTTAATTTACATGAAACAAAACTCTTGCATGTATGCTAAAACTCAATAACCACCAAGTATTTTGTCTAACTTTGGTTTTATTTTTGTGTCACGGAAAATCAGAAAAACAAAAACAAAACATTACATTATTTTTCATACATCGAAGTCTATATATATATATAATCTAACAGGTGCTGTTTCACGTTTGAAACTTATATACATATACACAGTGATTAGAGCTGTTATATATCTACAGAAGTTAATAATTTCTATAGATACTTGTTACCAGTTTATCTATCTAAATACAGTTTGGAACCATGAAGATCGTTTTGTTCTGTTTAAATACATAGAACGACTAAATCATGCTTAAATGCCATTTCTCATGTCAATTAATGTCTGAAAATGCGTACAGTGCAGGATTTGAGAATGTAAACTAGTCCTAATTTCTGCCTGTTATATTTGTCTTCTCTACCCTTAACCAGAGTGAATTGCAAGAACACATCAAAGGTGAATGAGTGTTGTTGTAAAATATTAATTAGCGAACTGTATTAAATAGTTGATTTTGCAAATACACACACACACACACACATATATTTATATATATATGTACATAAGCAGTATGAGAGCAGATATGATGTCCACTTCTTATTTAACTCAAAGCGAATGTGCACAATGTATTTTGAGTGAAATGTGATATTTCAGACATCATATTATATGTAGTTACAACTACGTTCATATAACAAGTCGTCACTGAATGTAACACCCACAGTCCTACATATCAAATAGAAAAGGATGAACAATCCTGTAAATTAAATAAATTTTACCAATCAGTTGGAGCATTTAGCAATTCACTCGCGGACCGGATTGTTCATTAACAATTTATAATTCAATATTCTGCAATTCCATTCGAACGCCTTTACGTCTTATACCTGAAAAGTTTGTTTGGTTGTAATTAAGCACAAAGCTACACAATGGGCTATCTGTGCTCTGCCCACCACGGGTATCGAAACCCGGATTCTAGCGTTGTAAGTTCGCAGACATGCCGCTGTGCTACTGGGGGCTACCTGAAAAGCTCTGTCTTGAATCTTTACTGGTTATCATGATACTTTCTCATCTGATTCTTTATTGGTTGTCATTATAAGCTCTCCACTAGATATGTGCTGGTTATCATGGTAAGGTCTCCTTTGGAACTTTGTTGGGTATCAAGTTAAGCTCTAAAACGAATCTTTATTGGTTATCATGGTAAGCTCCATCTTGAATCTTCACTAGTTATTATAGTTTGTTCTCTTCGGAATATCTGTTGGTTATCATGGTAAACTTTGCTTTGGAACTTTGTTGGTTACCATAGTAAGTTCTTTCCTGAGTCTTTATTGGTTGTAATAGTAAGTTCTTTCTTGAATCTTAGCTAGTTATTGTTAAAACAGTTCCTTTGAAGAATCGTTCGTTATCATCTTAAGCTATGTCCTGAATCTTTACTGGCTATAATGGTAAGCTTTCTCACGATTGTTTATTGATTATCATAGTAAAATCTTCCCCATTATTTCTGGTTACAGTGGTAAGCTTTCTCCTGATTGTACATTGGTGATCGTAATATATTGTTCCCTGAATCTTTACTGGCTATGGTGGTAAGCTTTCTCCTGATTGTTCATTGATGATCGTAATACGCTTTTCCCTGAATCTTCACTAATTATCATAAGAAGGTTTTGTCTTGAACAAATACTGATTCTCATCATAAGCCGTTCTAAAAGTTCTAATTAGCAGTTAGAATACTCCAGTAACAATGTGCCCATGTTTTACTCTGCAATTTCTAGAATGTTTTTAAAACTGAAGTAAAAAGCTAGCAGTCTTACAATTTTTGTAAGAAAGAACTTTAAGTACTTAACTCCTTAAAAAATAATATTTTTGAGTTTAATGAATAGTTATGGCAATATGTTATCATTCAACTTCCGTTCTCAAAAACCATAAGTAAGAGACATAATATTTTTCCCACCGTCAAATTGACTAATATTGAAATAACTGAAAACTGACAAATATTAACCTATTATCTACTAAAAATTTATAACAAGTACTATAATAAAGCAACTTATATACACACAAATACATATACATATTTTCATATCCTTACGTGTGAACTTAGATCAAAGGAAAAAAAAACTGCAGGAAAATAAACATTTCTAACAGTCGTTGTGATTCCATGTTAAAACTTATATCGACATTTGTATAGAGCTTTTCATACTAATATTTATAACCACCGGTACAAATAACTAGCTACCCTACCTATGTAAGAAAGATGGATGTTGCCTTTTTGGCGGGAACTATACTTTATAGAGCGAAGAACTGCCATACGTTACTCATACACGTGGTCGATATCTAACGCGCTGTTATTCCCGCCACATTTATTGGGCGTGAGGATGAGGAGTGTTGTTTAGCGATCGTTGACTAGGAACAGTTGACCCTCTTGTGACGTCAAGTTTATTATTAACAAAGAAAACCTGCGTAGTTCCTATCAACATGTATACACTGAAAGACAAGACATGTTTCACACATTACGAATTGTCTAATAGTTAAACTACTCCATTGAATAATCCTGGTGCACTAGTATGTCGAGAAAATCGTTCTTCGGGTTTCACCAACAGGTATGTAAAAGGTGAGCGTAAATCTTGTGTTTGCTGGGTCATTGTTGTAGAGCCTAGGCTAGAGAAATAAGTAGGTCCATAGTTGTACGGCACCAAACCGTAGGGGGAGCAAGTAGAGTGTGAATGCGACAGTGATGACAAGAAGTTACTGGCTGCTGTGCTGTAGAACGATGACAATGGTGGTGCTGAGTTCAAATGTAACTCTCCTGGATTGAGATTTGTGGATGAACTTGAGAGGTTGGTGGAGGATCCCGCTGCTGCTGACCGGAGTTTGGCCATGCTACTGGTGTCGCCAGTGCTGTAAATGCTGCTAAATCCTGTCCTTAAGGAACTCGGAGATAAGGGAATTCCAAAAGAGAAGGTACGAGCCGTCAGGGCTTTCTCACTATCTAGCACTGAAAGACTGGGAGGGGGGAGTTTAGGGAAAGTGTCAAAGGGCAAACATTGTCCAACAGGAAGGAAACCAGAGTCTCTTTTTAATACTGGTTTGGGTTTCCGGCGAGGTCTGTACTTATAGTCAGGGTGTTCTTTCATGTGTAAGGCTCGTAGCCGCTTGGCCTCGTCTATGAAAGGCCTTTTTTCGGCTTCAGACAATTGCTTCCATTCAGCACCTAGTCTTTTACTAATTTCAGAATTGTGCATTTTTGGGTTCTCTTGGGCCATCTTCCTCCGTTGACCTCTAGACCAAACCATGAAAGCATTCATAGGGCGTTTTACATGATGGTCGCTACGGATTTTGGACATCTTCTAGGTGTGAAACTTAAATATTAGTCTTAAAGAATATTTAAAATTTTAGTTTTATCAATAATATATATATTTATATTGGATGTTCGCCCGTTTTACAGCTCAAACCCGCAAAGATCTTCTCACAACGTTGAACATAAATTCCCAAACCACCACTCTTTACCCCACCACCCGTTGAAATAACCACCCGTACAACTACTCATGCATATATCGTCTCTAAACCATTGTCCTAGGGTTCGCCATTTGACAACGTTATGCCAATCACAGCTTTGCGCGAAGCTTGTACCGCCTATCTTTTAATAGTCCATTCCAGGCTGGTTACGTAGCCTCTCATCTAGACACTCATTGGTTGTGATTTCTCTATGCCCAGTTGCAGGCGCCATCTATGAATGGATAGTTTATTGTGTTTATTAAGAAATTAACCCCAGGACGTAAAACTTTATCATTAATTAAGTAAGTGACCCCCCTATTTTTTGAAAGCTTTGATAAAATATGTATGTAAATTGATTAAATGATTATGCCATTTATAAAGAAGGAACAAATGGGTTTTAATCTTATTTAATTCGTGTAAGTTTTATTTAAGGATGTTGTAACATGCGTCAAGTTTTATAACTTTAATCATATTTACACGCGCTTGTTGTTAATGGTGAAAACGCCGTTGGTTATAGTGAAGTCGATTTTATCAATTGTGAGTCAGACCTTAAGGAGTTATTAATTTTTTAATTTTTTTTAGCGCAAAGCTACATAATGGGTTATCTGTACTTTGCCCACCGCGGATATCGAGCCCCAATTTGCGTTATTAGCCATCAAGCTTACCAGTGAGACATCAAGGGATTAGGCGAATTGCATATTGAAACAATGTAAGACAGGTACCCCCAATTGCACTACCGAGAGTCTGAAGGCTTATAACGCCAAAAATCGGGTTTCAATACTCGTCGTGAGCACCGCACAGATAGCCAGCCCGTTGTGTAGTTCTTTGCTTACCTACAAACAAACAAACAAAACAAAATAAGACAGGTATAATGAAGAAAACATATAGGTCATGGATAAACAACTTATCCATTTTGATACAACATAAGACAGACGGGGAGAAATGGAAAAATACAAATCACGAATAATTAGATAATCAATTTTTGCGTTATTCTCAATATGAATACTACTTATGTTATTGAATAGTTACAAAAGTAACTGATGCATAAGTATTCATGTCGTAAACTCACTAATGGCAAATTAAACGAGTAACGAAATAAAACTAAAGAAAAAGTTTCAACTGTTTTGGTCTTGATAGGATAAAATATTATAACTCTAATAGTGAAATAACACGAAGAAATATAAAAACATTTTGTTTCATCTAAACGATTTTATCCCCCTTGCATTCCCCTTGAGTAAGTTCTCGAAGAAAAAGAAAATGTCGTTATTTGTGTTATTATCAAAATAGAGTTATAGATTAGGGTGAATGGAAATATATTAATTATTTGATAGAATAAGCAATAATTAAAAACTTAAAATATAATTTAAGAAGCGATTTAACGAAAAGCAGAGAAATAGCTTTCAAATTCCCTTCATTTATTTGAAAGGCATATGTTTTAGAACCTTCGTCGTTATTTTGAGCTCAAGCAAATAGTAAAGCCACATTCTTTACACATACGTTTTAGAACCTTCGTCGTTATGTTTAGCTCTAGTAAGTAGAAAAGCCACAATCTTTACACATACGTTTTAGAACCTTCGTCGCTATGTTGAGCTCAAACAAGTAGTGAAGCCATGTTCTTTTCACATACGTTTTAGAACCTTCGTCGCTATATTGAGCTCAAGTAAGTAGTGCAGCCACATTCTTTACACATATGTTTTAGAACCTTCGTCTTTAGGTTGAGATTAAGTAAGTAGTGAAGCTACGTTCTTTTCACATACGTGTTAGAACCTTCGTCGTTATGTTTAGCTCAAGTAAGTAGTAAGGCCACGTTCTGTACACATACGTTTTAGAACCTTCGTCGTTATGTTTAGCTCAAGTAAGTAGTAAGGCCACGATCTGTACACATACGTTTTAGAACCTTCGTCGTTATGT